GGGGGACGTGGGAGGACTCTGCACTTGCTGCTGCGGGGTTGTTGGTTTTATCATTCAATAATATAAGGACCGCATTTCATGTTCAGAGGCTGAATATGCTCACGTAAGGGCCATATGAAGGATCGATTGCTTAACCCCCCCACCAACGGCCTCTGCACTGATCATTTTTCTTGTCCACAAGTCCGGGGCCCAAGTCTACGGTGCCCCGACCTTTTAGAGGTTTGGTGGGGAAGGCCCGGAAGGTTACCTCAATTATTTTTCCTCACGGCGGCACTGTAGGTTTTAGGCTCGGGAAATCACAACCTTTGGTTTGTCAAATCAGGTCCGGATGGAGTGGGGGTTCAGTTTTTTGGTTTTCTCTCGGGGAGAAGGGGGGGGGGAAGGTAGGAGGGAATATACGATTGCCTGTAGGCGACAGTGGCTGAGGGGGTGGAGAGTAGGGAGGATCATGCCCTTCCTGCTGCGGGCTCGGTTTATCGTTCCACAGTAGCTACTTCTAGTAGACATTGCAAATACATACACTCTGGGGATTCACACATACCGTCTCCCTATGATGCTGCACACGCTAAGCTTGTCGCTGTCTTTCGGTTTGTTGAGTGCCGTGGGTCTGGAAAATCAGTAGTGAACGAGCAGTGCGATAGGAGGGAGGATGGCTGGTTGGCTTGCCAGCATATGTTGACATATGGGATGGGAGGGAGGGTGGTTGGTTGATGTGTGCTATAATGCTTTGCACGATACGTGTTGTGCTTCGCAGGATGGGAGCAAGGGTATATTAGATGGCATACCACCTATTAGTGAGTGGGCGAGCACGTTTTTGATACCGGCATCTTTGGCGATTTCTGAGATGGCATAGGATGGGAGCGAGGATATATTACATTGCACAGCACCTGTCAGTGAGTGGGCGATCCACGATACGTCGTTGTTGTGACCCCAAATTAGAGAGGCCCGATTGGTGATCGGTTCGTGCAAAATAGAGTGAGGCCCCATTTTGGACACCTATTTACTGAGTGGGCGAGCACGTTTTTGGCGCATCACCTATTTGCACGATACGTCTTCCTGCAAAAGGATGGGAGCGAGGGTATATTAGAGGCTCTGTGCTTTGCACGACACGTCTTGTGCTCTTTTGGAGGAAATCGCGTTGTATCAGTAGATGCCACATCACCTCCTCAGGAAATGCCAGTGATAACATTCTCCATCGACCATTGAAATGTTTTTAAGTTCTGCTCAACTGGGACTGCCTTGCGGGGAATCGACCATTGAAAGTTTTGTTACGATGACAAGTGTTGAGGACCTTGTCTTGTCGAGGACAGATACAGCTCTCCTCGGCAAGGGGGGAGTGCCTTTTGTATGGTCTTTGGACTAAGGTTCCTTAACCCAATGCTTAATATTAAATTATTAATAATAATATTAATTGAATTTAATTCACTACTTGGAGAAGGGTTTGAGGCTTTGAGCAGAAATGTTCTGTGACTCAGATAGGATGTGAAATGCCCCCGGCTTTTTAATTTTTTGGCGGTCCGAGATTTAGTAAAAGTACTAAAATTCGAAAATTTCAAATTTACCTTTGTCTAGCGACTCTAGTTTTTGACTTGCCTTGATTACTTCTTTATTCTGATGTATGGGCATGTTTTACATGCACCTCTCTCTCTCTCTCTCTCTCTCTCTCTCTCTCTCTCTCTCTCTCTCTCTCTCTCTCT